TATTCTTCTAGTTAAAAATCATTATGAACCCCAACGCAGAGGATGAATTAAACTTAGCGCAAATGGAAGAGATGCGTGCAAAGGCAAATACATTTGCGAAAATTTACGCTGAATTTAAGTATCTTTGGAAATTTAGYAGAGGCCTCAAAAGCTATGAACAATTAGAGCTAGATTTCAATAGACTAATGCAACGTTTAAACGAACATTATAAATTCGAACTGACCATAAGCCAAACGAAACGTATTGTGAATTTGATTTCATTATGGTATAAGCAAACATATCACACGAAATTTATGGAGAAAAAACGTATCTTAAATAAAGTACAATATTATTTGAACACTTTTGCATATTTGCCGAAAACTACGCGACGCATATTTTATTGCGAAGAGTGTCCACGTTATTTTCTTGCACAGCAGAAATATTTTGCTCACCGTCAGGGACACAACGCGCTAGCGCCCACTTGCAACAATTGTCAAGAGAGCTTTATGATTCGCAAAGARCTGCACTTGCACAGCAAATTGTGTGCTACATACAAATGCATGGAATGTGCCATTAAATTTGATAACGCCGCCAATCTAGAATATCATGTACGCAACAATCATATATTTCAGTGTGAGAAATGTGGAAAATTATGCGCTACAGCGGCAGATTTAGATTGGCACGAACATCAGTATCCCATAATTTGTGGCTTGTGCAATCGTTTATGCGAAACGGCTGTCGAATTGCAAAAGCATCGGCAAGAATCCTTTCACTGGGACTACACATGCCGGACATGTGAGACATTTCTCCCTACGGCTACGCAAATGAAGCAGCACCTGAGGCTATGCATGGGCAATAAAATGTAATATTTTTGATATATTTACATATGTATATACATATTTTTTTTAATCCACCATAATTTTAATCAAAATGTGCACGCGAATTGMCAGTATTTTAATTTTAAGTAGTAAAAGTGAATTAATTTATATTTTTAAAATGCTTTTTATACAATGTTTATTTAGTTTTATGAATAAAAACAAAAATTGATGAAATGCGCGTAAATTGACAGCAATATTTTTGACACTTCTAAATTGTATTTGCATTATTTTCATTCAAAAGTATAAACATTTAAGTAGTAAAAGTGAAATAATTTATATTTTTAAAATGCTTTTTATACAATGTTTATTTAGTTTTATGAATAAAAAAACAAAAGTTGATGAAATGCGCACAAATTGATGGTAATATTTTTGACACTTCTAAATTGTATTTGTATTATTTTCATTGCAGAGTATAAACATTTACCCGTGTAGGTTTCGCCCGGCACATAGCCATTGGCACCCTCAGCCACAATTAATCTATAACCGTTGTCGCCGCGCGAGCGTCTGCCATGCGGTAGGTGTGTTGGTGCACGCGTACAACACGCCGCCAATTGAAACGCCACTAAACATAGCAGTAAAAATGTCAAGTTGCACTTGTTGAGTAATTGACACTGCATTTCCATTCSTTATGTTTCGCACACGATACTGTTTTAATGGCCACACAGTTATTTAAACCGATTTATATATACATATATATATATAAATATACTTATATACATATATGCGTATATTGTGGAGTTTTTTGTTTCAATGCTAAGTTAATTGCACAATGAATTTGTCCACTTGCTGTGCAAGCGTAGATTTTGAAATGGACTCTATTAGCGTTTTGAATGTCACCAGCAGCTTTGGTCACGCTAACGCGTAACGCGGCTATTATTAAACTATGTACGGAGTCTTAGATTAAATGCTTCTATACAATACGGCGWACGCGCTCCGACTGAATGCCTCAAAGATGAGCATAAGCGAAGATGAGCCATCAAGAGGCACTGGAAGCTGCTTGAATACATACATGTTTATGTACATAGCTGCATGTACATATGTATGTAATAGCGAATGTGTCTATATGTGCGTAAAATGCTGATAACATACTTTATTGGAGCCTCCATTTGTGTCTACAAGCTAAAAACAGCAGCTTTGTTGATAAGAATGGACCATTTGGCATAATAACTGTGTCTAGGAAACAAATTCGAAGTTGGTTTTCGCTAATTTGTAGTGTCATCAAGCATTTTTTTTTCGAAAGTTTTTACAATTGCCATAAATCTTTGTTGTTTTTGTTTCAAATGCGGTTGCATTTCTCACAACAGTCGGTCCTACGTAACCGCGAGGGACCCCGATTTTTTATCCGGTCAAGGACTGTCAACGCGGCAGAATTCTGCACCAACAAAAWCAACAACAACATTCGGACAAATTAGCACCTGCTTGGCGAGAAAGGGACCTTAGATTGTTATCTCAAAAACTGTGGGACGTCCTAAACTTTGGCTTCCGGCTGTTTCGAACTTCATAGCAAATTTAATATACCCTGTTTARGGTATAAACATCTAATATATGTACATATGTTCATTTCGGTGCATATGTTCCCATACAAGTACGATTTACTTGAACTTTAGGTTCAAATTTAGCGCTGATAAGCTCGTCACTCGGTTTTTAAAACGACAGTGGACAATTAAATAAAAACGTTTTTAGTTTTGAGTTCATTAATAAGTGTTACTTTGTATTTATTAATGTATTTACATATGCCATACGTTTTGTTTGCATATGTAGCAGCCACATGACAATTACAGTTAGTTCAACGCCGTYATTACTGATCTATATCTTCGCTGCACAAATATACATACATATGTATATGCAAATTAAACTGTTATTGTACATACATATGTATGTACATGAAGAGGGTTCCATAAATAATTGCTGTTTAAGTAGAAAGAAATCGCATAACGCTGCATGAAGACATTCCCCCCTCCCTATCCGCAGACGTTTGCTTAGTTTCAGMGGATTCTTTCAACGTTCGCCTGAATCTTGTCATCGCAACTGCTAGTGTCATATTTCCTGTCTGCTCTTAGGCCACCTGCAAGTACTTTTTGTCAGAAACCGTTAACGAGTTTTTATTTTCTCTGGGCAAACCGCGTTCCCCAAAGAAAGGATATTAGCCCACCGCTTATACAATTCACCTGAATACCTGCAAACAATCTRTATTGCTCCCTAAAGTAACATGACCAAAAAATTCCAACGATCCTAGACTGTATATCGTTACTTTTAAAATTATTTGTGTTTTTTTTTGTGCTGACATAATTTTGGGGAATGCTTCCTAGTTGACAGTCTTTGGTCAAATAAAAATCCAGGTTCCCGTTAGAGTTACTTAAATCCGACTGTCGTGGGCGCATTTTTTTTTTAATTAACCGTTAATCGTCGCAAAAAATAATTGGTTTAACTCTTTTCGATATTCTGCAACGTCTCTTCAACCCGSCAAGACCCAAAAAATGTGCACAGAACGCAGCAGAAAGCAAAATATTGACAAAAGCATTGCTCCTTTTTAAGGTTCCACCAGAGCTTAATCCAACTTTGGGAGAGTCGGGCATGGTCGTTGAAAGAATTTCAGTTTTTGATATAGGTGAAAATTTGCCATCATCCATCCGATCACTGAAAGAACTCCCTTTTGCATTACGTCCATTCCATTATCGTCCTTAAACTTAATCTAAAACTTACCCTAATTCCGATCGTCGAAAGAATTGCCTTTTGTCGCCTTAAAWCCATTCCGTTATCGTTCTAAAACTAACAGATCCAARCGAGGTTAGATCTCTGAAAGTACAGCCCTTGGCCAGATAAAATCCGGGTTATTTCCAATCTCTGAACTAACTCCCTTTTGTCGCCTTAAATCCATTTCGTTATCGTTCCCAAACTTAATCGCTCTTAAAACTTACCTATCCAAACAGGGTTAGATCTTCGAAAGTACAGCCCTTGGACATATAAAATCCGGGTTMATTCCGTTTGCTCAMAAAMTTGCCTTTTGCCGCATTAAATCCAYTCCGTTATCGTTCTAAAACTTAAACTAAAACTTATCGATCCAACGAGGTTAGATCATCGAAAGTACAGCCTTTAGGTGGATAAAATCCGAATCAATTCCGTTAACGCAGAACCGGCTGCTGTGGAAATTGATTTCGTTATCATAGTACTGGCTGTTTGCATAATTCGTACCATCTGTAGCCCTCGATATGTTTTTTTTTTTATTATTGTTGTAGTTAAAATCAAATACATTTATGTATTTTAGCGGAAATCTGCTGAGTTGACCGCCCTTGGCGTGCTAAAAAAGCTTTGAACATATTTTTTTTACGATTTTACGATTTTTCATAAGTTTAACTTTATTATTTTTCAATTTGTATGTATGTATTGTATAATTCGTATATGACAATCTTTTTTTAGTTAATACATTTTATTAATTCATTTCTAAATTTTTGTGAATGAATGAATGTATGAGATTTTCGCGCGATTTGTGAATTCTGCAGTTAATAATGTATGTATGTATTTGTGTTTGTGTGTTGATTAACGCGCCTACAATCAGGTCTACAAACATGCCATACATATTCAATAAACGTTTACAAACTATTCATAAATATACTTGACTGCAAAAATAACTGTATTTAGGTACATAATATGTTTGTATATGTATATGCTTGCAGTCACATGCTATTTTTTTATAAATCATACATACATACATATATTTTGTCTCTATTATTAATACATAGAAATCTCAAGCCGCCGCATTTAGTTTTGATGCCCTCAAGTGATAACTTTTCCTTAAAGCTGTCGTGCTCGTAGTTTTGTGTATAAAAGTAAGCGGCGAATWACAAACTGAAAACCGAATATCTTATCAAAATTTTGACACACTAGTATTGTATGTAAGTATGTGTGTATATAGAGCGAATTGCGCTACTTTCTATGCAGCAACTGGCAATGTGAGATTCGTTTTGGCTAATTTTCATGCTTTAATGAATTATGTTGTATTATGTCTTAATTATAGTATGTATATATATGTACGCTTCAGTTATAGCTTTTTATGTATGTTGTGTAGTGTTTTTGTGTAGGAATCGAAAATATCAGTTTGTTCCTTTAAGTTTTCGTTTGCTTTACGCGCTACAATTTGTAGATGATGTGTACTTTTATGTTTATAAAATTGAAAATTATTTAAATTTAATTATTATGTGACTAAAACTATTACATAATTGAAAACAGAACCTTGAGGAATGTGTATAAACACCACAACTGCGTAAATCACAAAAAACAGAGTTTCACACAAAAATACTTAATGAAAAAAATCACATACTTTTACATATATAAATTGACTTTAATTAGTAAAATAAAATTAAATTAAATCAATCACATTAAATATAATAACAGAGATGCCTTACAATATTTTAGCGCCAATAGTTGCTGATTGAAGCATTACAAGTGTAAAAGTATGCCTAATCTAATCTATGCATATACAAGCAATTTATAAATAAAATAAGTAAAAAATACTTAAGAAATAATAATAATAAAAATTTTAAAGTA